TTATTATTATTATTATTATTATTATTATTATTATTATTATTATTATTATTATTATTATTATATGTTAGCTTTTTAAGCTACCTCTGGCTGCCGCTGTACCGGGCAAAACAATATCTTCCCTTACCCACCCGACCCATTGTTGCCAAAGAGATAGAGAGATAGCCACTTGAGTGTTGAAAGTAATTTGCGATTACTTTAGTTTTACAGTACCACGCTAAGCTTTTAGCTGGAAAACATGCGCCACTTTTTCATCCAATCAGAAGTGAATCCTTCCTTGCTCGCACGCGTTTTCCCGCGCTTTGCGTCGGCTACAAGTTTTAACTGGCTCTCTAGATTTGTCTGCGAGATTTGTGATTGGCCAGGGTGATTAATTTTGTTTTTGTTTTGAAAGCTATCCCACTTATCGATATCAAATACTTCGCAAACTCAAAATGCCTTAAAAGTCAAGAAGACGCGGAAGTCCTTCTTTCAGTCTTAGGGTTAGGGTTAAGGTTTGTCTCTAAATGTTCCGCCAAAACTTCAGAAAAACGTTGCCAGGTGATTTTCTATATAATTTTACCCTCGATAACTCGAACCATGAGCTTGAGCTTTGAACCAGTAGCCAGTACCAGTAGGCTTTGTGCCAGTAGCCCGTCATTGTTCTCTTTAAAAAAACCTGTACAGTTCACAGTTCCTGGACTTCTCCCTGCTGCTTTCCTTTGTTATATTTTTCACATAACGTTACGTTTCGATTTATACAGTAATTTAGAGATGTATTGTTTTATTTTCAATCGACTTCTCTATTCTGTACTTAAATTTGATTAAAATATACACTGCATGAACAGAATAACATTAAATACCGTTTTTTTCCTTATTTCCGGTCATTTGTTCTCAACTCCCGATAACTTGAACCTTTTTCAATTTCCCTTGAAGGTTCGAGTTATCGACATACGACTGTACTACTTTATGAAAAGTATGTTGGCCCGTAAAGATAATTTTTTAAGTTGCTATAAACGTTATTTTTTTTAATTGTGGGATTTTTAATTATGTGTACTTTCCCCAAAAAATTTTCTTTCAACAATGACGTCTTATATCGTTCAACTTCCAAATAAAATATTTATTAGGAGCTTTGACTTTTGCAATATTGACATTTGATTTTATCGCATGCTATCGTACTTTGTTGGCTGGTAAAGACTGCTAAGTTATTCCGGCTTAAGACGAACCAGTAACAAGACATGAAATATCTTTGATTGCGTTTCAAAATTATATACTGTACTGCTGTTGTTAGCGCTGAAAAGAATACTGTTTCAGTATTTACCGTAAATATTGCCTGGGCATTTCCAATGTATCTAACGCAGCTGTTAATTAAATATCGGTAACATGCATAAGACAGAGGAAATTCGCGTTCCCTGTAATAAGCGTCGGAAGAACCAAACTGTCATAACAGATTTCTGTTGGCGATAAATTCGAGCACCAACTGTCAATTAGAAACAAAGAAACCATTGTCCTAATTAACATATTACTGAGCAGCTGCTGCAGAATGCTTCATTTTAAAAGCTTAAGATTTTGCTCCTGAAGTATTTTTGTAAATCTTGTCGGCAGCGTTCCGGATTCGAGCGGTGCTCTAAATTAGCTGCATCGTTTCTAAAACGAAAGCTGTTTACTGCGTTTTAGACTGAGAAATTCGTCACGGTCACTACAAAAAGGTAAGCAGGGCTCTTTAATCGACACCTTGTGCTTTAAAATAGCTTTTTTTGCAAAATGGCAACCAAAGACTTGTTATCTGTCTTATATTATTTTAAACCTTCGTTTGTTGAAAAGGAAAGACGGCGATTTCGTAAACAAACCAGGAAAATGCCTTGTAATAGTGTAGTGAACTATTCAACGATGGCAATAGCCTTGTTTAGTGCAACTGATTGTCTATCGTGCTTGAATATTTACAAGAATCAACACGAAAAAAGAACAACAATTGTAAAAAAAAAATTGACACAGTTTTGAAGGAAACTGTAGAACATTAAGACAACTTTCAGGTTAGATTGCATGGCGAATATGTCAAGGAAAAAACAAACCTAAAAGCTGATATTTCTGAGTGAATGCCAAACAATATTTTCCTGCCAAAACTGATTACAGCGATACCAATGTAAGGCCACAATGTTAATTATAGATTAAGCCTTTTCTACAGAAATTATCTCACCAAAAAAATTACTCTTCTTTTATTTTTCAACAGTTAGGTACAAGTGAAAATTACATTTAAGGCAGAAATTGTATTGACAAAGTTTTTGCTAAATTTACTTTCAGCGCAAATAATATATTTTGCAACTGGGGTAACAAATTATATCAAGATATACCGTCGAGACTGTGTAATAAACATTGGTACTTGGCAAACATGTGAAGAAACCCCCGCTGGAAACGCCAATGTTATCTTACATTTATATGAAAAAGATTCTCTCAGTATAATTCATGTGCTCTATCAAAATAAGTAACTTAGATGGCTGAACTTAACAGATTACTTTACGAGTATCAGCTGCTAGATTCAGTATGACCACATATAGTTTGGTTTCAAGATGAGGAGAGAAGAAACAATTCTTTTTCGAGAAAAGATTCTAATCTACTGTTAGCCCTTACGGTTCATACAGCAAGAAATCGTATAATTGATAATTTCTCAGCCCTAACTGAATAATATATTGGAATCTGTTCACAAATGTACGCATAGAAAACCAATATTTTTACTAGCATCGTAACATGCATAGTAAACTGTCTTCTTTTCCTCCCCTTTGCTAGGCTAAAAAAAAGCTAAAATCCAATATTTTAGAAACGTAGAAACGTCCCCGGCTAGGGATCGTTTGGCCTACGTGAGGGACGGGAGAGTTGGTTAGACATCTGATGTCAAACTTGTTAAAAAGACTGAAAATTAAGCAAAAAAATTGACAGAATTTACAAGGCGCTGAATGTTAAAGCAAGTTCTATCTTCTTCCTTGTTGTTTCAGTATGGTAACTTTGAAATCGATAATCTGTTAAAAACAGTTTTAAACCATAGCATTTAGCTAAACAGTTTTATCAAATCAATTTATATTGCCGCTAACAGAAAATATTAACGTGAGAAATTCTTCATTGCAGAGGTGTGGGTTTAACATCTAATTTGATGTTAATGACAGAAACATTAGCTAATCCATGAATACGTGTTTGTTCCATTAACAGTTTTTCGTTTCTTTATCGATGTTGTGTAAACTGCTGTACTTTTTTTTTACTTTTTTTTTTCTTAGTAAAAGGTTCACCGATTAAATTTCAGTGATATTACGATCGTAGAGCTCTTAGAAGCCTGGATCAGTTTTACAACAAACAAAATTTAATAGCTAATATGTTTGAACAATAATATTTATTCCTATGAAAACTTTGGTTTCATTACTTACATACAAGACTTCGTACAAAAAGTAATGATTTTTCAACAATAGATTTATTTTGTTTTGTTTTTTTACTTGTCTATTGAAAGATGCAATGCCTTTAAACACATAGTTTAGATTTAAGACTAAATAAACCTCACTCAGAAAAAAAAAAGTCACTGATCTAGGTTAAGGAGAAAATGAAGGCTACTATAATAACTGTTTGTTCCATTAACAGTTTTTCGTTTCTTAATCGATGTTGTGTAAATTGCAGTTCTTTTTAAATGCTAGACTTTTTCTAAGTACCGGATTAAATTTCAGTGATAATGCGATAGTGGAGCACGTAGAAGGCTTGGGTAAGTTCTACAACAAACAAAATTAATAGCTAATGTTTTTAACGATAATATTTGCCCTTTTAGAATCTTTGGTTCCTTTTAGTACTTACGCACAGGACTTCCCCGAAACAAACCCACAAAAGGTTTTTTTAACAATATACTCATTTTATTTTTGTTTTTTGTTTTGTTTTTGCCTTCTGCCGGAAGACACACTGTTTTAGAAACATGTTTAAGATTTTTGTCTAAATAGATGTCACTCAGTCAATTTAGTGACCAGGTCAAGAATAAAATAAAGGCTTTTTTCAAAAAAAGTACATCAATGTTTTCACTTCCCCTAAAACTAAAAATTTCATACTTGAAACAACGTTTATTTGTAGTGAACGATTTAAGGAGACCGTCGTGATGGTGTTGCAAATGGCGTCGAGAAACAAAAATGGCGGAATCTTCTGTCATTTAGTTTTGAACAGTTTTTTTGTCTATTTCAATTCATTCTAAACAATATGTACTCTGACTGAAAATTTGGCCCATTTCGTTTGCTCTATTAATTGTTCTACAAACGCAAATCAAACTGAAATGGCGAATAAGAGCGCCTAAAGTGATAACGACTGCAGTATTAAAAAGATTAGCTTTAGAGACTAACAGAGCTTAAATAACAGCATTTTCGACGCATTTTATTCAATTCATTCATAAGCATTATGTATATTTTCTACATCTCTTTAAAATACCACTGTCAATCATGCGCATGCGCGGTCAGGCGAGAGAAAAGAAAAAATTATTAACTAGATGATATTCCGTTGCCAAATGTAAGAAAAAATAAAAGCCTAGAATTTTTAGAAAATTACCAGACGGTACATAAATTTTAATATTTATGGAAATTGGTAAATTGTTAATGGTTAAAAGGCACATGTTTTAAGAACTTCTTGGGGAAAAAAATATCTTTCTATTACCATGGCCAAGCTGGTTCAATCAAATTTGGAAAAGCCTGTTGAAAGTTATTCATAAATTGAAGACAGACATCTTGTTTTACTTTCTTCATGCAGCTGGTAATTTTGCTTTTATGTTATAACGTCTCAAATGTAAAAGATCTTTTTTTAGAAAAGGAAAAAGTAATATTACAGTAACTTCTATCAGATATGATCTAATCTCATCAGTTCTTATTAACAAAGAGCTTAATTTTGAACTTTGGCAGTAATTGCCTGCGTTTCTCATAACACCGTGTACATTTATAAAATACGTATTCTAAGATAAGCTGTACATAAGAAGCGCCGAAAGTAGACATAGATATAGAGAAATTAAAACGCGTCTGATTTTTTGACATTTTGTATTAACAAAGCCACTATTTTGAATTTTCCGACATTCGTTTACTGTTTATATTTGCTTTGTAGTGAGTGCGGTCTGCCCGACCCATCATCTCAACAGAAAGGCGCAAAATTATATCTTTACTTTCAAAGGAGAAAGGCCGAACAGTTGTGGGGAAAAGAAAAGGCTTTGTAAATATTTCAAATTGAAACAATGATTTTAATTCTTTCATTATTAATTTCCAGGCTTTGCCACGAAGACAGCCCTTCTGCCTCAAGACATTCAGAATAAAAGTTTTTTCTGTTTTTATAAAGCTAGAAAGCATATGTCGAATTCTGTTAATTATTGTTTTCAATAAAATTGCTTATATGGAGACCTATTCGCTTAGTTTCATTTCCTTGAAAAAGCGGATAAAATAGTCTAAAAACTAGACATTGCCAAGCAATTAAAATTTGTCTGCTTGAAGACAGTTAAGTGCCTGAAGGTTTAAAACTAAACAAATCTAAATGCGTGGATGCGGTTGTTTCATTGGAAACATATTCGACCGTTAGTCGAACAGCAAATATAAAACAGCAAATACAAAACCATCTGTAACTTTTTCTACTCATTGTTTTTAGAAAATACTTCCAATCTGACACTTTTCATCTACTGTTATAACTAGGAATCGTTCCGTATTTTTCCAGTGCTATTTCTTAATCATCTCATAGTGTTGTTCTTGGAAAAACGGATGAAAACATCATCTGAAAGAAACTAGACTAAACCTAATTAAAAATTCCTCTACGAGGGGCACATTTACTTCCTGAAGGTTTCAAACTTAGCTCTGAGAATAAGTGTATGGGCAAAAGTTTTCTAAAAGAAGACATGTTCTCAAGTTAGTCGGTAAGTGTAACCGGTATAAATAATCTGCAGCTTTTTTTGTAGTTGCTGTAGGAAATTTTTGTGACTCAAAAACTCTCATTCGCTTTTTAAAGATGGAGGTTGTTTAGTATTAGAAATAAAAAATCCAACAAGAATTGAATTTATTAATGTACTTCATGACTAATAACTTTTAAAGAAGCGTCTTGAAAATGTTTTCTAAATTTGTCAAACAGTTGCCTTTTTTGTCCTTTTTTAGCCTTTTCATGCTTTGCTATCTATTTTTTGACATTTTCTCCGTTTTATTCTCAAGGATGTACCGTGCATCTCAAGAAGGGACATTATATTTATCGCGAAAAAGCACGTTTATATTCATAATAATTTTTTCTTCATTGTATGCTTATGTATTCTATGGTATGGTGCGGTGCCTCGATCAAAACTAAACTAAAGCTACATGAATTAACTATACACGGTTAAAAGCACCGACTTATATAAGATATATTGCAAGATTTCACAGACAGATAATTAATATCAAGCACGTGAAGGTTAATTTTGAAATCGACTGAGCACAACGCCTACAAGCTCTGACTTAATTACATAGTTTCCTCTCAGGTCATCAGTAACTTTATTTTCATGATTGAGTACCTGATCATGTATTGATAATTCGTAACAGAAGTTAGATTTTGATCAAATGACAAGGTCTAGATTATTTCAGTGTAATAAAACAGAAGTCTAGCTTGGCTCAACGTTTTCATCACAAAGCTTTTTAACAGACAGACCTCAAATTTGCTAATGCAATTTCATGTTTTGACCTCCATATCTCTTAAGTGTAAACTGATCGACTGGTTAACGGCTAAGATGCGGCGACCAGAATATTTAAATGACAGCTGAAAAAAGTCAAAAACGTTAACTGACAACTGAAAAACTGGCTCAAAAGGACCTTTGTGTCTCCCCACCGAAATATTCTTAAGTAATAGTTGTTTAACAGGATAAGCATATAAAGCGTGCAAGTCAATATAGCGTGCAAGTTAATAAAGCGATACTCTTTGCACGCAAAACGAGCCTATGAAACAGTACATGTTAGGCACGTACCGCGTGCTAAGAACTAGGAACCTATACATTCTGTATGCTTTACGTTCCAATAATGATTTATTGAATATGATGAAGTAGTTTTCTTTTAACTTCAGACATGCAGCAGCTGTGTCTTATTTCAGTTGCTTTATTTACGATCCATCAACATCGCTCACAGTTTCAAGTTGACGGAGGATGCCCAGCAAGCGAAGAGAACGGAAAGCAGGACTGGCGTTTTGCTGTGTTTGAACGCAAAGAAAAAGGTACATTAATACTCAGTTGTGTATAAAATCTACACAGAGCCTTACTGGCCAAGTGCTTAGCACGTTTGAGTTTTGTCAAGAAGCCTGAGTTCAAGAACTGGCCACAGTCATCGTGTCGAGTCCTCGGACAAGACAGTTTACTCTGACAGTGCATCTTTCCACCTTGTAATGTATACATTTGCATTTTGTTGAGCAACACAACAGATTAGTCTTGAGTAAGAGCCGCAGTTCGGGAAAGGAGCCCTTTCTACACTGGACTCGAGAAATGGATCCTGTATACGTAATGAATAGATTTAAAATAGATTGAACCCATTTCTGTGACCACTTCTTATGTGCTCTGTTTTTTATTTCTCTCAGGCATTTTTCGCAGTTTTCTCTATTTTTGAGTTGGAAGGGATAAAAAAAACACTTAATGACTGACCCCACTGAGGATCTCGGGGAAACAAAACTCACTGTTTCCCGTGGGGCCAGTCATTAAGTTCTTATGGATACCTTGAAACCTGTCGTGATCATTGCTCTGTCCTTTCCTTCAACAGGTAAAGCACTCAAAAATCACGTTTTCGACTCGAAAATTGTTCGTTCAGAAACGGAATGTACTTTAACCTGTCTACTGAATGCGCAGTGTGAATCGTTCAACTTCCAAGACAACAGTGTGGGTGCCCGCCATATTTGCGAACTCAACGATCAGACAAGATTGACAAAATCACATGACTTACTGCCGCGAAATGGTTTCTCGTACTACGGCTCTGAATTGGTGAGAAAGTAAATAAGATTGCCATACCTCGACATGCATCTGTCTTATAACGAATACCTTTGCAAGCTCTTTCTTCTCTTCCGACAGTTACCTAGACTAGTAATATAACTTTCCCTTTGAGGTGGTGAACGGCCGATTACACTTAAGGCGGCTCAAAACGGTTTACAATACTTTCCAAGACTTAGATTTCGATGGGTTTTTTTTATTACTCTTGATCAGTTGATGCTACAAGCATGGTATCAAAAAGCCTGCCCAACATTTGGTTAACACGTTGGTATCATTTTCGTGACACAACTGTCACAACATATAGCAATAGTATTACCTGCTAAAAACACCCTTAATTATAGTGATAGTCTTGGAGACTGCTGGAAACTGTTTTTAATTCACTTTAACAGTACTTGAGCTTAAAAAGAGGTTTCCTTGCACACATCCCTTGTCACGTGTTCATAATGAAGTCCGATTTTCGTAAACGTACTGACATCCGCGTGCTTATTTTTTAACCTTTACAAACAGTGTAACCATGCATTTGTTGTCATAGAAACCGTGTTTAAACGTGATTTGTCAGAACGGTGGAACATGCCAGCCAGTGTTTGACAGTATAGAGGCCCCCTTCTGCTGTCAATGTAAACAACGCTACGTGGGTCAACACTGCCAACATCTTAAGGGTAAGGATTAAAAATTAGTTATTGCCGTTTACCTTTACAAGATTGCAATCAGTTATCGTGGAATTTAGCAGATGAACTCCAATATTTAAAGATAGGTGGCGCGGTGGCTTAAAATGGTCGCTTTCAGGACTACAGATCGAGTTCTGGACGCACTCGACAATGCGTTCTTGGGTAAGACACTTAACTCTCAAAGTGCCTGTCTCCACCCAGAGGTATAAATGAGCACCGAAAGCCTGGAATTGAATATTGGTGCAAAGACCGACTTTGTGATGGATTGGCATCTCATACAGGGTGAAGTAGAAAACTCGAAAACGTAACGGTTCACTTAGCCTTCAGTCTCATTAAAAACAAGTGATTACAAATTAACATTTGCATTTCTTGAATTTAAATACATTGTAACTATAACGATATTTGTAATGAGAAAACTAAAGAGGTTGTCCAGTGTTGCTTTGTTACATGTAAGAGTCTTAAAAATACTCCAAGTTGCTGCTTCCAGAAGTACTCCGCATGTTTCGTTCGGAACGGAACATCGGAACTGTCTTTGATATTTACTCATTCCATGGCTCGATTCTCATCGAAGAATATAATTAGGAATAGAATAAAATTAGTAATGTCGAGGGCCATTTCTTTAGGTTGGTTTCCAGATTGCGGAGAAACTCTTACCATTATGGAACGATTATCTCAATCTTTTTTGTCCAACAAATGTTAAGAAGTCACCCGTGCCTTTCTCCATAGATAGTCCATGCAATCTATCCTTTAGGCCTCCCCTTCTTCTCGATGATAACAATTTTCAAGATATCTCTCGGCAGGTTTCCGTTTTACCGGTAGCAGTTCAGGAGATCACGCTTCCGTCCCAGTCAAGGGAAACATAGAGATGACGTCATTGACTGTTTGCCTTCGATTCAAAGCCAGTCAAGTTGAATATGGAATAAGCACCCCGGTGTCATACGTCACCGGGGATTTCACTGCTGCTTTGCAGTTTCTTGCAAATAGAACGACAAGGGTTTATGTTAAAGATCAATACAGGTAACTTAATCTTTGGAAACCCCCATTTTTTATTATCCAACTGTATGGAGCACAAAGTTTAAAAAAGTGCTTCGAGCAGGTTCAGAGCTACCTAAGATATTTGAAAAATGATGGTGGTTATGAACCATCTGCTATCTTTTTGTAACTTGGGAACCTCTTGCGTCACAAAAATGACCATGATTTGTTTGCCAATGACTTATTTTGACAATCTTGTGATGTTTTCAGTGATTTTCTTTATGTGTCTCTATTGGACGATACCTGGCATCACATATGTTTCACGTGGGAAAGCATTGGCGGAAATCTCTCGTTATATACAGACGGACTTCTGATTGGACAAAAGCAGAGTGTACATCCGGGACTGACCTTAAACAGCACAGGGTCGTTGGTAATTGGACAGCTTCAGAAAACCATTGGCGGGCAATTTTACTTGAATGAATCTTTTCTCGGAGATGTTGCAGACGCGAATGTTTGGAAAGATGAGTTGACTCAGGCTGTTATAGAGAAACAGTCAGATGTTTGTTATGGTCAATGGGGAGACTTACTTGATTGGTCTGTATTTTCAAATGGGTCGTTACAGTTTCACAAGGAAGCCGATAGTATTCCTTCAGAATGTTCAGGGTTTGGTGAGTATCAATCAATCAGTCAGTCAGTCAATCAATCAGTCAGTCAGTCAGTCAGTCAGTCAATCAGTCAATCAATCGATGGATGGATCGATCAATCAATAATCAATTAATCAATCAATCAATCAATCAATCAGTCAATCAGTCAATCAGTCAGTCAGTCAGTCAGTAAGTCGGCCAGTCAGTCAATCACTTAGTCAGTCAGTCAGTCTGTCAGTCAGTCAATCAATCAATCAATTAGTCAGTTAGTCAGACAATCAGTCAATCAATCGATGGATGGATGAATCAATCAATAATCAATCAATCAGTCTGTCAGCCAGTCAGTCAGTCAATCAATCAATCAATCAATCAATCAGTCGATCGATCACTCATTCAGTCAGTCAGTGAGTCAGTCAGTCCATCAGCGAACCAATCAATCGAACGACTGAAAAATAGACTCCTCGATGGCTCGATCTCTCGATCAATTAATCGATCAGATCAACGATTTGATCGATCAATGAATCAATGAACCAGGAATAATTCATAACTAACTAAGTGATTAATTAGTCAATTAACTAATTTGTTAGTAATTGCATCAATTTTCACCACGTAGTAAAAAGCGATCTACTAAGCCAGGGTTATTATAAGGAATACTAGGACATGAAAGTAAATTAAAAAACAAGGCAAGAACATCAGAAGATAAATTTCCTCTCGGATTGGTATGTTATCAGCTCACGGAATGGACAAACACTGTTTTTCAAACGCGGTTTTTTAGTGGCAAACCTTGACTAAACCAGGGCTTCCTTATCACCCACAAATTGACGAAGAAAGAACATCTTATACTAACCATTTAAACTAAAAACGTTTTTGTTTTTTGTCAAATTGCTGTGTTCTATATTCCCAGATCCTTTGACAAACTACGATCTCGAATTTCCGAGGAAGACTGACGACGACTATGTTCTGGGTCCCAGGCTTCCAGTGCTCTCGGCTTTCACTGTTAGTTTCTTTGTGAGCTTCACGCACCCAGGAGACAAAACCTACATAAACTACTTTGGCAAGGGACACTTGAATGAAATATTTATTCACGAGAGAAAGAAGCACTTTACAGTTCGCATCAGATCAAAACCCAGGTAGAATATCAATTCTCTTGGATGACTGGACATACGTAAATACTTTGGGGCTAATTATGAGAATTCAGTTGTACATCAAGACATCATAAGCTCTGTCGATAACTTTCCTTGACCTCATTACTTGTCTAAAAAATTCAGAGAGATTGGGAAAATTGAGGCTGGCTTTTGGGAAGGTAGTTGAGAGTTTTTATTCTATTGCACTCCAGGTTGCACAACTTCGTTGTTTCACCTGACGGTCTATGGCACCATGTTGCTGTGACGTGGGAAAATATCAACGGGACTTATGAGATATTCGTGGACGGCCAGCTAAAGGAAAAAGGACACGGCCTGCAGAATGGAGCCTTGATCAGAAACGGGGGACACATAATTCTTGGAAATGACAAAGATAGTTCTGGTTTTCAAGAGAGAGACGCTTATAAGGGAAATATTTCTCGAGTGAATTTCTGGGACTACGTGCTTCCGAGAAAAACAATTGTGTTACTTTCCAAACGCTGCGGGAAAGAAAATGGCGAGTTAGTAGCTTGGAAGGACTTTAGGGCGGGAACTTTTCATGGAGTGATCAACATCCGGGAGCCTTCATCGTGTAAGAGGCTCCAATGAGAAAAGAGGCACGTGCGATACCGGCCGGATTTTATAAATCTGCCTTGTCTCAAGGAAATTATCTGTAAAATCTAAAAGTACATAAGTATGCGATGTCTCATCAAAAGATGACGAAACGAAAAATGTCACGCTTGTAGATCATGTCATGTCGGACAAAGGTTACCCGCTGAGTATCCAGGCCTTGTGTTCAAGAAGCCACGATATCAACTCTTCGTTAATTATCGCACAAGTTCACCACGGTCTAATATTATTTTTATTAGCTACAGGTATTGCGACCTTTTATGAATTTATGGGACACGGTTAAAAACTTTAAAAGAACTTGACACTTACGCCCTGGCGCGAGTGCAAGTATAGACTGTTTTTATTGGTTCAATTTCAAACTTTGGTTATTGGTTCAGGTTTAAACTTGGTCTGAAACCTGGAACAAGTCGTAGAGGCAAAAGAAACTGCAGTAAGCTTTTTTTATATACCATTAACGCTCTAGTAAACAATAATGATACTGAAAGTGAAGAATGATCATCGCATTCTTCACTTTCATCTACAACCGCAGTTCATATATGAATTATTTCATATAAACTTCACAATAATGATACTATTATAATAAAATACTTCTTAAGCACCATAATTCAGAAAGTGTAATGGCGCTCTTTGAGATGCGTCGATTAGGAGGGTGGGGTGGGGTGAAGGCGATTATTTCAAATGGAAATTGAGCTGGACATATGTTAATAGCAAGTGTTAAATTGTAGACACAGGTAGCAATAAGACAAGGTTGCAACGATGGATGAATGACTCAAAAAGCAGTCCTCCATTTCTTGATCAGAAACTGCTCGACGTTTAAATGCCCCCGTTTAAATGACAGGTGAAAAATTTTAGGGGAGAGATGAAAATGCCCAAACTGATAACTTCTATTCAACTGACAACTCGCAAATGGCTTGTCACCATTTTAACAGACAACTCATAAATGGCCCAAAACCTTACTAAAACGGACAATTTGACACAGGATTCTTCTAAAATGATAAATGCTTAATCTATGGGAGTGTAAACCGAGTATATGTAGAAGTTCTAAGGGCAAATTCAAAACGCCATTTGGAGAAATATCACATGCAAATTCTAGCATAACACGTGACGTTCAAATACCTAAAGAATAATAAATGAAATTAAACGTCACACTTATGACCTCAGGATGGGCATGCGCAAAAGATGTCAAGTAGAACAAGAAACTGCCAACCAGTTAGTCGCTTCAAAGAAAGTCGAACACATTTCCCCTCTATACCGGCGGGAAAAAAACATTCACAAAGAGAGACCCTTTGCATGAATGGGGCCTAACTTTCAATAACAATACTTAATACATCTTTAGCCTGGTACTGATGTTTCCAGACAAAGGATTTTTCACATGAATGTGAGGCTTAGGAAGTATAAGTATTGTTATTCAAATTTAGGCGCAATTTATGCAAAGGGTCTTTCGCACTGTGACAAAATAACTGTGACTTCCTTTAACTCAATACTGTTAGCAGTGGTGTAAACAGCGGGTGAGACTATCGAAGTATTTGAACATTGAGCCAATTTAATCAAATACAGTCTAAACCCACAACTAACAATTTTTCTTATTGACTGCTTCCATTGAGCTTATCGTCATGGTAACGCAGTTGATTGACACCTCTCAGATGTTTAATGCTGCGGCCATGGCCTTAATGGCAGCAAATGTCTCCATTCCAGTTGGCATGATCTGATCGGCTGGCAGAAGAAACCCATATGTACCTTTGTCTCTCAATTCCAGTGCAAATGTATACGTCGTTCCCAAAGTTTTGTAAACCCAATCTTTTGTGCCTCCCGAATTTGCGTCTGAAAAGACAAACCACTATTATGCGGGTAAAAAAGGCTAGATTTACTACGTAAGTAAGTAAGCAAGCAAGCAAGTAAGCAAGGAAGGCTTTACTTAAAGAGGGTTTACACTAAATAGCCAAGGCTAACAACCTTGTGGTCCTCTATAATACTCATTACAATTTCGATGGCACCAAAAATTGAATTAAATAAAAAATACTATACATATAAATACAAGATATAACTATACATGTCCGAAATCTTAATTTACTATTATTGTTATTATTATTATTATTATTATTATTATTNATGCCAGTTGAAGAAATATTTATTTGGGAATAAAACAAAAGAAAGCGTCACGCTCGATTGTCCCAATTTCGCTACTCGACGACTATTACTAATAGTCCTCTAGTAGCGTAGCCAATGAAAATGCAGGATTTGCATTAGTCCACTAGTTGGGTGATACTAACAATATTTATTTATGGAAGCCCGATGAGATAAAAAAAAAAGCCCGATGAGATAAAAAGTAAAGAGGACGAGCAAACCTTGGCAAAATTAAGTTCGGCTCATCGCCGTTCGCAAGCAAAATATCAGCTACTACAAACCCGTTACATTAAACGAATTAAATTGTTCTTGTTTGCCATATAATATACATCTTATTAACCGAGTTTAGTCGGTTTGTATGGGAGAATCTTGACCTCGGTCGTGTGTACAGACCTCACTGCGTTTGGTCTGTACTCACGACCTCGGTCAAGATTCTCCCATACAGACCTCCTGTTCGGTTAATAAGAGCTAATGAAAGATTCAAATGACCACGTACCAAATAGACCATATCCCATTTCATTTTTTCTTCATTTTCAAAACGAAATCTCATGCCCGGCTTTTCATGCGAAAACGAATTTTATTTTCAAGAAAATGACCGTACAGGTGAAGCAAAAGGCAAGTCGGAATTTCTGTAAGTGGCCTATATGTTGTTGTTTAACTATAAGAAATAGAGTGTAAACTAAATTTTTGTCAGAAGGAAACGAATATTTACATATTGCAAACATGGGAATACAATCCTCTGGTTACGATTTGACTCCTGTGAGATACGCAAAAATTTCAAGCCACGACCACAAAACAAGGTCTTGGTACCTCATAGGGGTTCTTTTCAAAATTTCCGACGAGCACCCCCGTCCATTTTATATGGGAGTCCCCCGCCGGGGATATTTCTTGCTATCGCACTCAAATAAATACAATAAATGTAATTTTTATGAATAATTTTGCTACTCACAAATGATTATAGATGAAGGTCCAACTCTGTAAGTTGTCCTGTATCCGGCGTCATACAGCGCCTTCACAGCTATATTTGAGACACGTTCCTGATACGAATGAAAGAGATCAAATTAAAATATGCTCTTGCAACGTAGTCAACATGTTGAAAAGGTTTTACCCCCTTTTGTTTTCCTGTTGTACTTGGGGCAGCGTAGCGTGATCGATTTGACCATAGCGCAGGGATCTTACTGATGTGTCACTTACAAGAACTAACTTATTACATAGATATTCCGGGAATTGCCCATTTAGACATTTAAAGATAAGACGTAGCTTGTTAACATTAATTTCATCTTTTGTAATCAGAAAACTCGTCTAATGTTTTCTTTGGATTCCATACTCCAGACTACTCCGCCGTACAGGGACAAAGGCTTTATAGCTGCATCACTGCTTTACAGGAGCTCACTTACGGTATTCTGAGTTATTTTGGCCACATTCAAAATTACCTTTAAGGTGGAGGGACCCTGAAAATGATAATTTACTAAGATGGAAAAACACTAAGGAGATATAAATAAAGCATAAAGGAACAAGGATGGTAAAGGATGGAGAATTTGACACGGATTACAAACGACGAACTTGAAACTTTTAGGCTAAACTTTTCAAGATGCGGAAACCGTGACGTAGGTCCTTTAATCAAGAAAGACTCATCGCGGACGTGTTTTCCTTACAGGTTTTCTTTGCGTATAAAACCAAAACAGGTTTTAACCCGTTTCTTTAAAAAAAAAAAAATGCTTCACGTATTGGTGTTTAGCCCCAAAGTAGTAGAAATATCCTCAATTTGCATCCCTAAACGAGAACCGACAAGCGTCTGCGCGACTTTCGAAGCGGAGCATCGTGTCCCCAGAGACCGCGTTACTTTTGGTCAGCAACAAGAATCACGACTTCTAGTCAGACCCGATATTCTGAGCATGGGCAGAGTACTTGTTTTGTATTCCTAGCCAGTCAGGATTGTCACATTTGGCGGGAATTCCGTGAATCGAGGACTTCCGATGTGGAACCTGTCCAGAGGTCCCGATTCTTTAAAAGAAGGGCGGACTCTGGGGACGAGAATGGAGCCCCCGCGGCTTCCAAGCCCCTGAACAACTGCATGGGGCCAGATCTAAAACCCACCATCTCGTTGTAGTCCTTCGGTAATGTCCTTGTGTAGCCCCACGGAGTCATCCACAACTGGCTATAAGCATGAATATCCATGTAGCCAATCAGGTTATGTCGATTCTTGTAAAGATAACGAGCAACGTTCAACACTTCGATCTCAGAAAATGGACGTCTTCCGTGATAAGTGTCCATGCACGGATTGGAACTGGTGCCAACACCTGGTAACAATACAGATCACGTCTACGGTCTCAGAGGTTTTTAATATCGTAATTATTAGAGGTCTGGGACCTGGACTAAGAAAAAAAGATCTTTAGCAGTAATTCACTCTGTATATACGTCATGAAAAGTAATAGCTAGTAACGCAATCGCTTTTCACTGCTGACGTTGACATTTAGAGATCTAGAAGGCTCTGTCGACGTCAGCAGCGGGAAGCTGTTGCTTTACTAACTATAATAGACACGTAAAGGAACAGTAAAAGGAACAGCAATCTTCTGTTTTCTTAGAGTCCAACAAAGACTGGGTTAGCACAAGCCTCCTCCTCCAAGGAACTCTACCGTCATGTAAGATAAATAAACCAAGAATGAAACGAGGGAGGAATGGTATCCACAGAGACCGTAGACCTCTATCCCAGTCTCCTCTCCCTTTGGTTACCTCCCCAGTGGGCGTTCCAGTTCCGATTGGGGTCTGTTCCAATACAAGAACTTCCTGGATTTGGTGATCTTGTCTTCCTCCACATACGATTCTGCAACCATTAAATAAAATATTTGCATTACTAAATAAATAAGACAAATTAGAATATTTAGTCCGGAAGCCACATCAGCCCTAGCTGGTTTTCATGCAGGTCTTCCATCCTGGTTGAATTGGAATTTGGAGTGTTGGGGTTTGTGGAGGGAAGAAAACCGGAGTACACGGAGAAAAACCCTCGGAGCAAGGCGAGAACCAGCAACAAACTCAACCCACACATGACACCAGGCCGGAATCGAACCGGGGCAACATTGGTGGGAGGCGGGAGCTCTCGCCACTGCGCCATCCCTGGTTCTCAAGTGCGAAGTCAGAATGGCTGGACATTGACCAAGCTCATCTCTTAGTATGTCTATGTGTTTGAGTTCATAATTACACAAATAAGAAAGAGGACAATTTCTAGCTATCTTGATCTCGGTCAATAAAGTATTCGTTATATGACAGCCTACAACGCAGGCTAGGTCCAGATATGATTTCTCAGTCAAATTTTCATGCCATCTGGTCGTTTGGCAGTGGTCTGGTGACCCAGACCAGACTCTACTGGACCGTGGCTAGTGAAAACAATAAAACTGGCCCGAAAATAAAAACGAGACTCACCCCGGTATGACTAAATTCATATCCATCCACATTGAACACTGGCATGATCACCCAGTCCATCTTATCCACCATGGCGGTGACAGATGCATCTTTGCCATAATTGTTAAGCATCTGTTGGTTACAATAAAGAATTGAGGCTAAGAAATAGAAAACATGTTCTCCGTATTTCTATCGAGTTTTAGTATAAATCTACTAGCGTTCTATCACGCATGCTGTTCTCTGATTGGCTACGGTAATCACTATCTATTCTGTGATAGATAGGGAGTATCGTAGCGGTGTATCCTTGCTAACAAAATGACGGCCGCTTCTTGGCGCTTTCGAAGTGTCTGTGAAGAGGATTTAGATAAAGTTTTGAATGACTAGTAGATTTATACTAAAACAATAGATTATTCGCTCCCTATTTCTATGCGATTTCGCTGCGTCCTCGCCAACTATCACGCGATAGAAATCTCGAGCTCATAATCTAATTGTTTAATAGAAACGCGAGTGGAATTTTGGATATGGGAACACGAGCCAACAGGCGAGAGTTTTCACAGCTGTTTTGAGTTCTCCCAAAACTGTCACGAGTAAACTGAAATTAACTGACAAAAGGCGCATAAATTGAATGACACAGATCAAACCCACTAGAGAATAGACTTAAATTTCATTAATGAACAAACCTGTTTTATTAGGAAAACCCTGTTTTGTTAGGGAACAAATCTGTTTTTTTTTATCAAAGAAAAAACCTATTTTATTAGAGAACAAAACTGTCTTATTTTAGAACTGGTTTTCTTAGAACTGGTTTTCTTAGAAGACAAATCTGTTTTATTAGAGAACAAACCTGTTTTATTAGATAATAAACCTGTTTTATGAGAGAACGAACCTGTTTTCCTTAGAGATTAAACCTGTTTTAAGAGAGAACAAACCTGTTTTATTAGAGAAAAAAACCATTCTTATTAGAGAGCAAGCCTGTTTTCCTTAAAGAATAAACCTGTTTTATCAAGGAACAAACCTGTCGTATCATGATCATACAAGTAGCAGGAGTCACCCACTCTCTAGCGTGAATTCCACAGTTGATAAAAAAGACTTTCCTTCCAGCCCCTGGATTGGATGAGATCTGAAATTGAAGAGTAAATAAGTGAGCGAGCAAGCAGGCAAGCAAGCAAGCAAGCAAGCAACAAGGCTAGTATCCATAGGGGCATGGAGAGAAATCGAGAATTTTATGCGTTCCACTGAATTGTTTTTAACACAGAATACATAACTCTGTGTGACGTAATTTACAATCTAATAAAAAAGATTAGAGAAGTATGAGGTTCGTATTTTCGCAAGGAAATCATTAAGTCCATTTAGCACCTTCAAAGAAACGTCCCTTCCATTTCAAAAAGAAATAAGGCTATTTTGTAATAAGTGCGCCTTATTCTAGGAAGCGTCACTTTTAGAACAGGTCCCCCTGTTTCATGATTGGAGCCCAGCTAACACGGTTTAGTTAATTTTTGAGTTGAGGACAATTTCTTTTTCTAGATTGTAGCTGATTGAAGGGCATGAGGGCAGATATATCACGAATTATAGACAAATTTTACAACAAAAATTTCTTTGGACTGACTGTCACAAGTATGTTTTCGGTTTTTCAAGGCCCTGTTTATTTTTTTAATTTTTGAATTCGGTTTAAACCCATTTTTCCTCGACTGACATCATTACGTAATTTCCCTTGCTTGGCGTCCCAGAATTTGACATGCGTTTCCTGTTTTCCCGCGCTTTGCACGGGATACATAATATTCCCGCGCACTTGAGAACTTCGACATGATTGGATCTCTACATTTCTATTCGTGTTGGTGCTTGCGATTAAAGAAAACTTTCTGAGAACACCACTGTATCATTAGACTACAAGGAAATACCTTAAGGGCCGAAAGTGTCCTTCCTTCGTATGATTTTCCGATGTCCACTACCATTTTCGCCAGGTGTGGATAAGCAGATGCAAGACGTTGCATTTCGTTTTCAATCTACAAAAAACATAGGTCCGGAATGGATATAAAATTGCCTAATAAGCTTCTTGACAGTCAGTAGGGTAAAACGAAGGAGGCTTTTAGTTCTATAGACTGTCAGAAAAGTCCTTCGTCTTGTTAATCACTGATGAACGACTAGAAACATGCACTATTATTTAAGATACAGGAAGCAGGTCAAAATTAGTCATCATCGAAAGTTTCAGCATGTAACGTTAGTTAAAAGCCTCCTCACCAGAAATTTCAAATTTATATACTTATTTGTCATTTTTCATTATATGCCTCTAATAGTTATGAAATACAAATTCTCTGTTAGTAATAAAAGTGGAACTATTTAACTTAAGGTTTGATTCATGGTTAAGATAAAAATATAGCAGTATACCAGAGAATATTCTTACGAAATAAATCAGCCATATTTTCATATAAAAAAAGAAATCCCATGTAAGAAGGTCGGGGATGCTCGTAGTCTTGCTTAGGGATTTAAATCACGGATTCTGGTCCCACTTTGTGTGTTCAGGACGAAACGCCACCATTTTTAGCTGTCAAGGTATCTTTTAGGGTTCACTCGAAGAAACAGTAATGAAAAAAATGCCCTTATTTCCGTTTTTAGGCTTGATTTCGGGCGGTCTATCTAGTATGATCTACTAGCACAGGCTCCTTTCCTGATGAGCGGCTGGTAATCGATGCTATTCCGTTTTAAGTGCTATCTTTTAGGGATCAAATAAAGCTCGACCCAGGCCCAGATTGGTCTCCTTGAGCAGTTTAATTCAAATTTTCCGATGAGCATCTCCGCTCTTTTCATAAAGGAATCCCCCCTCGGGTATTCAGTAACGAAATCTTACCTGTGCCAAACGATTGTAGCGTTGATAATCAAATCCCACAGCACGGGCGGTCCTTGGAGGTGTGTTCTCTTTGTCCATCAAGCCTTGTACATCCGGGATCAAAATAGTAAATATAATCCCTTGACTATTCAACAGCTTAGCGAGTCGTGGATAATTTGAGGCTTTCACGTGAATATCGACGCCGCCCCCAACATGGGACGGATGGGTCCAGAAGTCCAGGTCCAACTAAAAACGTCAACAAAAAAATTCGTATAAATGATAATAATAATGATAATAATGATAATAATATAGTGATAATGATAATACAGGGATGATAATGATGATAATAATAATAATGCTAATTATAATCATCATCATCATCATCATCATCATAATAAACATATAACTACATTTACCTTCTTGTATCCATCATCTTGAATGCCAGAATTTTTTTGGATGTCAGAAAATCGTCAAAATTGATCACAATAAGTCAATAATAATATTAATGAAAGGAACTAATTAAAGGAAGCCAAGGTGAATTAATCCAAGTTAGAAACATCATGTCAGGTGATCAAACCTTCACGCACCAACTCTTCTTCATCAATGAATCTTAGAAAGAGCGCTACTTACGTCATCATTGTCTTCAAGTCTTGCAAGAAATTGTAGTTGATCTTTATTTGTTGAAGTTGCACGGACAACGCGGTCCCTAAAAAACAAACAAACAAACAAACAAACAAACAAACAAATAAGTAAACAAACCTTGTAATGTAGATGATAGGCAATATGAAGGCGTTACCTTGATTTTATTCAACAACTTCCATTGTTGAATTTAATTTTTAACTCCAAAGGCAAATACATCGTGTTTGATCAGTTTACTCCAAAACAACAAGAGGCCTTCGAAGTATTAATACAAATTGAATGGCCTATTGAAAAAAGCCTTTGCGGAATAAGCGAAAAGGTTACGGATGAATCTTCAAGTACCAAGAGGCTCAAACGTTGCAGTGAGATGATGATTTCGAAGATTTAGATTATCAGTGAGGCTTGGGAAACGTCGAGATTTCAAATCTTTGGCTAGCAACAACTTAGCAGGGGTGCTTTAGAAAGCCTTGAAGGTCCGACAGCCGAACTGAAAGATTTTGAACAGAATCACACGTCACTATGGACCACAATGCAAAATGTAGCAGAGCGTATACTGAAAAGCTTCTCTTGATGGATAAGGATATACAATTAAGAAATTTTGGTGGAATTATAGTTCTGAATTAATAGATCAGCCCTCAACAAATTGAAAAGAAATTAAACTGATCGATCAAAAAGTCAACCTTAGTACTCAATCTTCGATTTAAGGCAGTTGCTCGGATTCGAATTCAAACGTTATGTGTTTAAAGATCGTTATGAGAACGCTGGAAGCTAGATCCTTAATCAAATCATCAAGATATATATTTCAGGAAGCCTGAGTACCAAGAGGAACAAGCCAACAAACAATAGGCTAATGTTTTTGAGTTTACAACTTTTACTCTGATCTCTATCGACTTCTGTATTGACAGAAACATTTTGCTGTAAAACTGTATCTCAATACATCTTACTTACTTACCCTTTGAAGTTTGCAGGTTCCTCGCACAGGCATTTCGCAAGAATGCTGTACAGAAAGGCGAAAATCAAAGCGCGATGCATTTCGAATGTAGATTCAGAGCGCAACAAAGTGCAACAAACTGAAAGAGTACCACCTTTTTTGCCTCAATTGAACTGAAAAGGGGCTAGTTCCTCATGCTTTCAATCACGCGCAGCTAAAAGCAAACACGCTAAAGAATCATATTTTGATTTCTTTTGTTTTTCAACGTCTCCATTAGCACTGCAGGAGTTTATGTCGTATCTTGTCTGCCAAATCACAACCACAGATGAATGCCTGAATGCTCTTCAAACAAAAGATGTTTGTTTAGTTGGAGCTGATCCCAGTGCTGTTCAATAAACCAAATTCGTTGATATTTAAGTAGCTGTTTCATTCATACCCGCACTTCTAAAAGGAATGGTTTCACTGCGCGGTGCATGTGCAATTAGCAACGTTAGCCCTTTTGATTCCACTGTTTAGAAACAATCCAAAGAGAGCTGAAGACTTTTGCGGGAAATTGGTTTTTTTTGGAAATTTCGCGGTCAGGGACGAAAGTTTAGCGATAGTGGTGATCATGTCTTCATTAGAATTCGTTTTGCATTCATTTCCTTTGTTTATGAACCAATCAGATGCGACTAGATAACTCGTGTGTGTATCCATAGCAACACCTGCGCCTGTGAGTGAATGCGATGTTCCATAAAAAACTAGACATTTTCTGTGTAAATTCGTCCTTACATTCGGCGATATGTGGGCATCAATTATTTTGATTACGTAAATGTAATCTGTGATTACTGAACTACATGTGGCTCAGGAAGACAGCAAAAAAAAAAATTTCATGCTGTCGCTAAAGCTTGGACATGGACATGCGCTGAGGAAATGTTTTGTATCAAATTAGCGTGTCGAAGACCAAAACAAGCAAATACATTGATCTTACAAAATTTCATGTTTTATTACTGAAATTTCGGAAATTTTCTCAGCGCACGACAGTTTTACCAACCCTTGTTCCTCGCAATGATATCGAATATTAGGAAATAAAGGAAATGAAAGATTTAAACGCTAGAGAAAATAGCCTTGAAAATTGATTGAATCTTCGGGTTTGTAATTTATCATTTATGCAAGATTCATGTGGTATTGACCTCATTAATCAGCAATAGTTGATGTTGTCCTTTTCCTGGAATTATTTACTTTTCTGTCTTATTTCTAGTTGTTTTCAGTTCAGTGATCCTTAAAAAAAGCTATATCAGTTGACATCACTGATAAATAATTCTAACTATATTTTTACCTTACACCTGTTTAAAGGAAAGTGCCGGAGCGCTTTAAACTAAACATTGCCACTTGGACAAATAATTCTTTTATGTTGGCGCACTTCAGTGGACTCTTTTAACACGTCCTTGAATTAATTTCTGACCTGGAAAGTGAAACAACTTAGTATTCATTTATGGAAAAGCGCGTAGCCAATATTACCGCCTTTCTTCTTCAACAAATTAATCTGAAGTTGCTCTGTTTGTAAACCATTGCACGACAATCTTTGTTAAAGTTTTTTGTACATTATTGTGATTTACATATGATTAATTTTACAGAAATGATTCTCATAATATTTCTATTCCTCACGTGTTGTATTTGTACCAGATACTGAAAGAAAATTAGCGTAAATTACTAAAAGCAACCTTTAAATTATCGGTAAACTTATGGAGGGAAAATATTCAAAACATTCTTCTGCACATGCGCGCGCACTTGTTTGTCATAGTAGTCTGCGCATGAACTTACGTAACAGACTCGGATCCAGTCGCTTACGTGTTTTTTGGGGGAAGAAGACTGGATACTAGAGTGGATAAAAGCGCGCTGGGTGCCATAGGAAGGTTATACTAATAATAACATTTATAATGCGCAAATGAGTTGACTTTGTTGGAACTTTGACAGTTTCCAGCCTGGACTAACTATAAGCAACGTGTGAAGGGGACAAGTTGACAGTTGCTGGACTGACTTGAGTTATAGTGAAGATCTATAGCAGTGAACCCTGTTAAGTGAAGAAGTGCGTTTAGTTCTTGATTGTCAGAGTGTTAGCCAAGTAGAGAGCTCATCCCAGTCAGAGTTACTTTCTCTTTTATAAGAATGAATATTTTTCTTTCTTTTTATTCTGCGGACTTTAGGCTGCAATTATTATTGTATACACTCTTAGATTACAAAGTTGAGTACATGTATTTCCGCTAAATAAAACGGATGTGACCAGGAATTAAACGTATCCTGAAATAAAAATGTATGTAGAACTGTATCTGTGTCGTGTTACACGTGCTTTATCGCTTTACTCGGCTTACACGTAGGTTTTATCGTTTTGTTAACTAGTTCTCATAGAAAAAGGAAAAAAAATTGCTATACTTGTCAATTGTCAAAAAAGTTCATTTAGAAACATGATGTGATTTCATGATTGTATTTTATTATCCATCAACACGATAAAAAGTTTCCTTAACAAAATCTAAGCCCTTGTTATAGTCCAAATATTCGCCTCAATATTCCTCTAAAGAGATTGTTATAAAACAAAAAGAGTGTACTCTAACAATGTCTTTTACTTTTTGACTTTTCAAGACGTGGTCATGACTGTGCCTTTAAGGTCATTCCACTGAAATAGAACCTGCACTGAGATTTTTGTCAGACTTTGCCGATTGATTGTTTATATTGTAGGAACTTAAATTTGGAAATCAAAATAAGGGGTCCCCATGTTCGTTTAGGAGCAACAGCACCTTGTTTATACCCAATAAATCCTTGTAATAGCACCATGATTGCAGTCACGATTGCTTGCTAAATTCACGTTTCCGACGTTTGTTCCTTGCTTAACACTGAGAATTGGCCCATATTTATTTTACATAGAGAAATGTATTACTCAATTCAACAGAACAGAAAAAAATGATAGGTCACCGTACTTGTTTTCGAGAAAATGACGATTTACCTCTAGGGCGAGGTCCAGCCGCAAAGAAAAAGCCGCCATTTTTTAATGCGCGCGCGCTAATCACGCGTGAAATTATGCGCAGTAGGGATGCGCAATGCAATACTGGGGAATGACCTTAAAACACTGGAATTACCAATTACCGCTCTTTGTGAACAAGTTTCAGAGACAACGTAACGCAGAGAGAGAAGCAAGAAATCTCGACTGAATTCCTAGCTTCAATTCTTATACGCGACTTCTACTTCATGTCGTGGGTAGAAAGGCAACGCGAGATTACGCGACCCGTGTGTGACGGTGGGTGGTAACGCAACGCCAGATTGACTACGGGAGATTACTCGACTCGCACGTGATGACCTCCTTTGCACATCACACACAGACATATCTGTTACATGTCAAGTCAATAAGCTATTGTATTTACTCGACTTATAATTAACCACTACGATTCATTACCAGATCAGAAAACACTCGTCGTGTTCAAGATGTTACGACGCGAACATTTTAAAGCTTTCTGTCAAATCCTCGTTATATTCACCTTCTTGGACGTCTTGGTTTCTTTAAAGACAAGTCAGCAAAAGCGACGCACATATAATGGGTGAGTAGTAAAAAAAGTAAACTCTCTGTACGCACAAATAATCCCGTGAGGCTTTTGCCAACGCTGTGCTTTCTGGTGTCATAGATTCGAGAACTTTCCTCACAGTTTCAAGCCTCTGGCACTGAAACATTTGAAAAATGTCGTTTGATTCCTCAGTTGAAACTCAACCATACCGGCAAAGTGTTATACTATCGAAACCGATCATTGTTATTTTAAACGAGTTCCCGTCACGTCTACGAGTTTCAAGTGCATACAGTTCGAACGTGATATTTTTAATACGTCTTCATCCCCTATCGGATATTATCGTGTTATACGATAGTTCTTTCACTCACTGGCGGTCTTAATCTGGTCGATATTTACTCACCAATATGAGTGGTTTGTGTGTCGGTTTGGATTGAAACTTAGTTGTTCCAATTTTACACCTCTTTAACAATATATTCCTGAAAACCTTATCGAATCAAGGACTTCTCTTTAATATTACAAAGAAGAATGTACAGGGATCTGTCATCAACTTTGTGACATTTCGGAGAGTAAATTCGTCTCGTTCTCTTAACCCTGTATGAAATAGGAAATTAAAGGTGTTTGACAATTTTACAACCCGAGATTGTTCTTCGCGGAAGGAAAGAGACAACGCGCGAAAAAAATCGGCTTCGTTATTTTCCCTAGAGGGACTTTGCGGAAAATTTTGGTGACGGCGCGAGGCGTGTTTCTTGAAATCCTCAGCGTTTTTCAGACCAGAAAATATGTGATTTTCGATAACCTGTTGCAGATCTGACCCTAAGTTTAATACCTAATTATTATAGTAGGTAAAAAAAGGTGAAGTCTGCATGCGAGCCAAGTGGCCCATCAGGCCGGAGCTTATCCCGGTTTCTGTAGCATGAAGCGACTAGGAATATTTCTACTCCCCCCTGGATGGGACGCTAGTCCATCGCANTGAGAGTAAAGTGCCTTGCCCAAGAACACAACACAATGTCCCCGGCCAGGGCTCGAACCCGGACCGCTCGATCCGGAGATGAGCGCACTAACCATGAGGCCACCGCGCCTCCCAAATTATTATAGTTCAGACCGTTAAAAGTACTGATCTCTAACAGATGACCTAAGCTATCCAGGAATGGCTTCACATAGTTGCGCGCGTAAAGATTTTGAGAAGAACTTCAAATTCCCCAATTTTAAGTAGGGATAAATATCAGAGCAGTTTTCCCAATTCCAGGCCAGAGTACGAGACATGAAAAAAAAAAAAGAATGAAAAAAAAAACTGATCAAACTCTAGTATCCTCATCTAGTCGCAAATGCAAGTTTTTAGTAATTTTTATTAATTTCTATAATGTGTCCCCAATTAGCGCCTATCGCGCTGGATGTTTTTGATACGTAAATGAAGTTAACTATGCCCTATTTCAGACTAAAGTGGCTCAAAAACCATACACATTGGTTCCCATTGAGCCCCTCTCTATTTTTTTTTTATCTTGTGCATTTTATGTTGCGTGTAATTGAGTCACGTACATTGGAGACGAATTTGGTTCGACTACTAGGGGCGGAAATAGGTTTGATTTACTTTTAAAATAGAGGCAATCTACCAGATGTTAAGTTGCCTGGTTAGAGACAGGTATTAATTACAGTCAAAACAGCTTAATAACTAAGAATAGCTTGTTGTAATCCTTAGCGGTTTCAATTTCTTGTTTCAGGAGTTAGTTAAGAAAGTTATGCTTTTCATCTGAAGGGGTATTGTTCACACATAGCAGAATGTTATTCATGTGCCATTGAATGCGGAGCGGAGTAGATTTCATGCCAGGAGCTAAATATGTAAAGGAAAGAGAATATGGGAGTACTAGTTGGCCCGCTAATAGTGATACTAAAAATATAGTACCCACAGTTTTTTGCTACAATTCTACAAGGACGAAGGTAAGTGTTAATTTATCTAAGATAAGATTAATCCGCCCCTCCCCACGAGAAGAGACGCTCTCCATCCTTCTTCTTTTCCCTTCGTTTTTCGTCCTCTCAAAGATGCAAATTCACTAGTTTTCAAGGATGTATCTGAATACTATTCTTTAAACTTTCATTTCAGAGATCAAGTTCTACAAGTTACTCCCAGAACAGAAAAGGACATGAAATTTCTGGACGATTTGCTCCACAATAAATACAACTTTGAGGTAGTTTAAGTACGCCTTACGTAATACTGTAATCTTGTATATTCTGGGAGAAGACGCGGCTGGTGGTCTAATGCCCTGGCCAAACGGACTCGCAAGTAAACGCAAGTTGAAAACTTGGGTTTACTTGCTACTCCGTTTGGCCAGGCCTTGCGTGCACTTGCGTTGACTTGCGGTGAATTGCGCTCACGTTGGTCGAGATCAAATTTGTGCGCAAGTCGAGGCAGGTTTTTCACCGTTTGGCCACCCAACCCAAGTCAACGCAAGTTGAGTGACGTCTATTCGTTGTTATAACGACCTATTAGCTAATGAAAACGGGATCTATCCCGTGCTGGAGTAAGCCGGTAGCCTTGAAATGGGCTTTTTGCGACTTGCCCGTACTTGCGAGTCCGTTTGGCCACCCAACGCAAGTCTCTACGCAAGTTCAACTTGCGACTACTTGCGAGTCCGTTTGGCCATAGTTTAATGAAATGCGCGCTGGCCTCAAGCCTAGCTGTCCTGGTTTGATTGAGTCCTTGTCGGGATCATCGCATTTTGCTCTTGGGTAAGACACTTTACTCTCACAGTGCCTCTCCCCAACCAGGAGTAAAAATAGGTATCGGTGAATTTAATGCTGAGACTAGCGTCTCACCCATGGAGGGTGGGGAGGGCTAGGAACACTCCTAGTCACTTCAAGCTACTAAAACCGGGTTAAGCATTATGGGTCACATGACCGGAAGTAGTCTTATATATAGCCTCATATTCATAGCCATTTTTCTTGGGCAATTCTGTCCGAGGGGGAAAGTCGCAACCCTGTATGAAGCACCAACCTATGAGACAACGCCAGACCACAACACCGGGAACTCCGTGCCCTAATCTTTTCGATGAGTGTGTGAGTTCTGTAACGTGCATATGTATTCTGGAAAGTACGTCCTTACGTATATAATTATTCTGGAAATCCAGAGCATAATATGTTTTTAGCTCCTAACAAAGTTTTCATTTTGCAGTTAGATTTTTGGACCCACCCCACTGAGCCTGGTAAACCCGTAGACATCCATGTACCTCACAACAGAATGCGGCAATTCAAACACGCCCTAAAACGGAAATCAATTTCTTTCCGTATAAAGATTAGAAACTTGCAGCGCGTAATAAACAAGGCTGGAATGAGACCACGCGCTGTTCCATTCAATGGAAAATTTCACTCATATTCCCAGGTTAGTTTCTGAAAATGTAGGTTTGTTCCATAATTGTTCGTACTTTATAAAAAACTTGATCAGCTACCGGGGTGCTGTACTTTGGAACACTGCACCCAGGTGCTACACTAATAACTTTAAGCATTTCTATGCTAAAGTTAGAAAAGACGTTTTTATTAAACAGCTTTAAACAGTTAGACTTCAATGCGACTTCGAACTCGAAGTCCAAACGCAAAGCAAGAACATAACGGATTTTAAGTTTTATTAATGTAAATGAATACATATGTTATTATTATTATTATTATTATTATTATTATTATTATTGTTACATATTTATGTTTTCTGAAACTTTTTGCTAGATACAAGAACCCACAGGCAAACCAATTACTTTATACAAAATCCTGTTTAAATGAAGTACTGTTGTTGTTGTTGTTGTTGTTGTTGTTGTTGTTTTCCCTGTTGTTGCTGTTGTTGCTGTGCGGAACGAGAGCGAAATTAGAGTTTGGTGAGCGAAAACACAAAAAGAGAGGAGATTGGGAATTGAAATCGCCCTCTTCCTCATTCCCCTTACGATTACCGTTTGCGCAGCTGCTACGCACTGTCAGTTAGTGTTTGCGCTCATTTCGTCTCCTTTCTACCCTTATCACGAAAAATTTTGGTTCTCTTTGTTTTTACTCACTTTTCATAGATCGTTCATGAAATAAAGCGCCTTGCAGGTCTGAATGAAAGCCTAGCGAGGGTTTTCAGCTTGGGAAAAACATACGAGAACAGAACAATGTATGGCATTAGGGTAAGTAACATAATGCTGTTGAAATTATTGACTGTTTGACATATTGACTGTTTGTTGAAGACATAAATAAGTGATTTCCCTTCGTGGATATCTTCGTTTCCTCCAAACTACACAGGGAACTGGGAAAAGTCCCTTTTTGAGAAAAAAAATCATGTTCTGATATTCCATCTTACACGTACACGAACATAATAAATATTTCGACGCACGCAAAAAAATTGGAACGTGGGAGGAGAGGCGGAGGGTATTAGGGGAAAGGAGAGCGTGGAGATTAGCTTAATTCCCGGAGGGAGTCGCAGGAAATCAGTAAGGTCTGAGTAGAAGAGGAAGTACGGACATTTCGTTGGGAGAAAGCGTGAGAATCAGGTTAGTCGGAGAGACGTGTAAAGAAGCATACATTGAAAACGTATATGCCCATTTTACGGATAACTATTGTGGAGTCATGAGAGGGGAGTGGCATATATTGGAGGGAGCCGGAGGGATAGAGGAGTCAATGGAAGTTTGACTAAAAGGAACAGACGTGTAAGGGGGAGTGGTTAGGCACCGTGGAAGTTTTAAAATGGCTATGTGCGCTTCTTTTATCTTTTTTAAGTGTTGTGCAATTTTGAGCTTAGTGCTTGTCAATACAGCGTATTAGAATCAGCTACAATACAATCGAGTGTCGTTAAACCAAAACCAAACCAATTACTTGCCAATTTAATAGACTACTCAGCTAATCTTACACCGTAGTAAAACCAAAACCAAAGTAATTGCCTGATTACTCAATTGAAAATCGCTGTACTTCCTATCGCAGATCTCATCAAACATCTCCACCTCAAAGAAATCGGTGATGTTCATTAACTGTGGTATACACGCTAGAGAGTGGATCACTATATCATCCTGTGTATATGTCGCTAGAGAGGTATGTAGGTTTAAATATATTGTTGTGCTCACCACAGCTGGCGTTGTATCAGTTGAAGCGAGCGAAGCGAGCGCGACGCACGCGGGGGTGGGGGTTCTCGGTCTCCACCCCCTACCCAGTCAAGTCTTCCGTTTTGCGCTGGCGTCTAGTTCTCTCGCGATTCTATCCGCGCGTTCAACGATCGAATAAGAATACGAGAAAATCGAGGGCTGTGAGCAGTCTATTATTTCATATGTAAAGTCATTTTTGTGATGTGCAAAATTAACTTTACAATGAAGAATAAGTGCAAAATAAACACTAAGGAGTTTATAATAGACCTAAAAGCAAGTGATGGTTGTAATTGTGAAGCATTAAGATGGATAACGAGAGACACACTTGAAAAAATTAGCTGCTTTTTTCAAGATGCGCGGTTTATTATCTATTTCTTTTAGGAGGAACGTGGTATGACGATCCTGTTAACGGCTGGGAAGGAAACTAGGACATCTCCGGAAATAAAACAGAGTTAGACTTCTTAAGGGTAAACCGATCAATTCCCCCTTGAACAGAAATAACTAGCCTTACGTTTTTGTTCATCCTAGCTTCTGCTTAAGTACTCTACAGACAGCTCTGTCAAGTTCTTAGTGGACAAGTTGGAATGGATAATAGTGCCTGTTGTGAACGTAGATGGATATATCTATTCTCACACCACGGTAAGTAAGGCTTCGTGTGTTCAATGCCAGACCCTGCTGGACTCCAGATCGAGGGGTCTGGGCTCGAGTTCTGGTCGGGTCGTTGCGTTGCATTCTTGATAGTCATGATATCAAACATGAAAGATCGTGATTGACTACATATCCCAATACCGAGAAGAGAGTTGAAAATACGACGCGCAGCGGAGTCTTTTTGACAAACTTCGAGGTGTGGTCAAACACTGTCTTGAGTGTTTGATTTACCTTCTCAATCAAAACTAAAACTAAGGGGAAAAAAACGGAGAAATAGAATCGTCCAAAACTACGCCAAATAAGATCAGATATCCAAACACCGTCACGGTTATGATAACTCTTACAGAGTCTTTCACCATCCCAAGTATGTAAATAGGTACCGGCGAATTCACTGCTGAAGGTAACCCAGCTATGGACTGACATATATGACATCTAGAGGGGAGTAGAAATCCTCCTAAACAACTGCTTGATGTTACAGAAACTGAAGAAAAGCTCATCTCACAGGATTCAATTGTATAAAAGAGGAGTGAGCGCGGACAACGCAATATTTTTATCCCGTCATTGCCTCATCATTGTGAAATTTTATTTGGGGGGGGGGGGNTGGCGGGGGGGCAACTTTGCCGTCAACTCAGAAGTTACTGTGAAAGGGGAAGAATTGATCCCCCTGCCCACCCCGTGACGGGGAAAGAATTGATACTACGAAGCAAAAGGCCGGTTTGCTCACGTGTTTATTCAAATCTTTTGGCAACTAAAAATCAAATGCCTATTATTCTGAAGGATTTATCTTTTATTTATTTTCTCTGCTACATTACAAATAAATGATATGTGTCGCTTGTGTTATTAATAAAAGGATCGTCTGTGGAGAAAAAATAGAAGACCGAACTCAACTGACTGTGTTGGAACGGACCTGAATAGGAATTTCAACTTCAGATGGGCAAGTAAGTACTTCCAATGTCGTTTGGCTCGTATTACCAACATATCTTAAGAACTCTTTTCTTTTCCAAGCATATACACCTTAGTCTTAGTTTTGAAAAGTAATTACCATTTGAAATTCGGCTCACGAGCGCGTTTCCCGCGCTTTCAAGGAGTGCATTTCCCGCGCTTGGCACCGGCTACCTAATTTCCCGCGCTTGGCACTGGTAATTTGGTTTCGCGCGCTTGACACTGGCAATATTATTTCCGGCGCTTTTTTTCTCCGAGCTCTGATTGGTTCGTTGCTATACTTACAATTGCTGTGATTACCCTGATGCGACTACATGATGTTGTATTTTAACCAACAGCTGTTGGAGCAGACTATGGCCAACCTTGCAGTGATATTTATCCAGGAACGAGGCCTTTTTCAGAGCCAGAAACTCACAATTTGGCACTGTACATGTACTCTATAAGAAGACGTATAAAGGCTTATGTAGACTTTCACTCCTACGGCCAGCTTTGGATGTCCCCATGGGGCTTTACTAGACGTTATTTTCCACCAACGTATGCCAAGCATGTAAGTACAATTGTTTTGTTTCTCTTTGTCTGTCTGTCTGTCTGTCTGTCTATCTGTGTGTCTGTTTGTCTGTCTGTCTGTCTGTATGTATGTCTAATAGTTTGTCTTCGATCTCGTTTATAAATGATCAGTGATCAATGATACCAAAGTTATGGTCAGACGGTTTGAGGTTTTTAAGAGAAAGTAATTAACTAGAAAGTGAATTCACAACCATGACTCTAAAAAGCAAAGACAAAGGAGAACCGGTTCGATTCTGTGAAATAAACACATTATGAAATTTTCTAATTGTTGTTTATTTCACCAGTAAGTTACGAGGTTTTACTCCTCTTTAGAAAGGTTTATAAGGCAGTTTCAACTTAACAAATTGAAGTCAGTTTTTCATACGTCTGTCCTGTCATTGACAACGAATTTCGACATATCATGGTCAAGGTAGCTGCGGATCCACGACGTGATATCCAAACCTACTTTGACAATGCTATGACGAAATTAATGATCAATAACAGGACAGACGCATGAAAAACTAACGTCAATTTGTTTTTTTACAATAAATTATCGCATACATTACAAAGTCATGTGTCTGTTCGCCTATTGACAATGAAAATTAGCCGGTGAGCGCGCGAGAATATCTGCAGCTATTGTAATAGACGGCACGCAATGCGTGCAGAAGCGATGACGTTTAAAAATTGTTCCTAGAAGATTGGAACATAAGCAGACAAACTGATTCTTAAACCTTTTTGTTAGAAATTTTAGGGGCTTACATTTAGGGTAGTCCATTTTTGGTTCATTCAAGTAGTTCATGTACCAGGTCCATCTTGTTAGTCCATGTGCTAGGGGTCAGCGAAATGTACCAACCCAAACGAAAGATTAATAACTGAAATAAAAAGCACTCCGCTGAAAAGTTCCTCTCTCTGAAATCAACACCTTATTATCTTTAAAGATATTTGGCAAAGCTAATTACCTCACTGGAAATTAATTTGTTGTTTTAACCATATACTTGTCCAAGAGAAAATCATTTTCTCTTGACATGTTATATCGCGTGTTCGACCCGCTTGTCTATCTAAAATTGTATGTATTGAAGATATGTTATTATGAGTTTGCTCGTGAGCCCAAATTTATCCGACACTGTATAAACCAAAATCTACCCCTAAATCTTCTTTTAAAAGCTACAATTAAAAGCACTCCGCTGAACCTACAAACAGCAAAGAAAGGCAGCAAAGGAACTCCCAGAGTGCATTTCGCTTCCACAGGGGGATAAATCGTGCGCGACATAAGCGCACGGACATAAGCGCGACGAAACTATGCGAAATCACTATCCAAAGGAATGCATGCACGCCAGCATAAAGCGATGACGTCACACAATACGTCATCGCTTAAAAATACGTTGAACCAAGGGACACAGCCGAGTTTCGTTATATGGAGGTGCCTGTATTGTAGCGGTAGATGTTATCTGAATTCTGTTTTTGCTGGGATGAAGTGGACTGTCCGTATTATGGAGGTTTCCAGCCTTATTCTGGAGATGTCCGTGTGGAGAAGTTTGGCTGTATACTCATAAATAAAGAACTGTTTGTTTACCTAATGTACTGTGATCTATCGATTTACAGGGTGACGATATCGAGGAAACATGGTTTTCTTGGCGCGCAAACGAAGAAACATTTCTGGCGGAAACAAAATGTTACTAAAAAAGGCTAAGTCTATGTGCGTAATTGAGAAGAATCGATCGATGGAAAAATCTTTTCTATATTCATGTGTTTGTGAGACCTTAGCTAGGGGCGTTAGTTGTTTCAAACAATGGTTCATTCATACCAAAGTGCAAATATTACGGCGCTGTCTTTTTTCATTTGACAGTGGGTTGCAATGAAGCGTATTGTTCAAGCTATATTAAACATGAATGGCACTCGATATGGATATGGCCCAGCAGCTATGGCTATCTGTAAGTATTGCATGTTACCTTCACTGATGTGTCTCTTACTTATCAGGATCTAAACATCGCATCTTGATGACTCCGAAGATCACCGGTTCGACTGATTTTGTTTTCGTTGCTTGATTCCTGATAGAAATGCGGTGAATTTTAACAACTCTGACTGACTGACTGATTGGTTGGTTGATTAATTGATTAATTGACTGACTGACTGACTGATTGACGACTGACTGACTGACTGACTGACTGACTGACTGACTGATTGACTGACTGACTAATTGACTGACTGACATTGACTGACCGACTGACTGACTGACTGACTGATTGATTGATTAATTAATTGATTGACCTGTCTGACTTATTGACCTATTTACTTACTGATTCACTTAATTACTCAGTTACTTGCCTTACTTATTAATAACCAATTAATTAAGTAAGTAACTAACAGGGGCGGATTTAGGAGGGGTGGATTTCTTGCACAAACCCCTTATTTGTCAACTTAACTGTACAAATTACCATGCACGCATAATATGTAGTTCCCATTTGATTGACAGATGAGACCTCGGGAGACGCAACAGACTGGGTTTACGGCGTTTTGGGCGTCACGCATTCCTACGGTGTTGAGCTGCAGCCATCTATCTTCACCAACAATGGCTTCGTACTTCCGCCTTCCTTCATTGATCCTGTTGGCAAGGAAGTCTTTGTCGGATTGGAGACTCTCGCTACCTTCATAAGATGAGAAACAATGCATGCTGATAGCCTGGGATTACTAGTTGGGAAATATTTGAAACATGTGTACAGTCGAACCCCTATTAAACGGCCACCCTCGAGGAAATGGACTGTGGCCGCTTAAAAGGGGTTGGCCGCTTAATAGAGGTAGAAACAATAGAAAAGCCATCTTTGGGACTTCGATTGCTGGCCGCCTAATAGGGGTGGCCGTTTAATAGGTGGCAGCTTTATGGGGGTTCGACTGTATATGAAACAGGGCGGTGTTTGTAAGGCCTTTTGAAAATTAAAACTACACTGTCTTTCGATATGCTTGAGCACGCGCTCGCCGTGAGTGTAGGTTTTGCAGTGATATCATGGGTGATAAATTACTTCTTAATTTTGGAGCGAAATTTCAGCGGCACTATATAATTTCACATGTCAAATTGCAAAATTGCCATGACAACGTTCGGCGCTAAATTTCTCGACTCAATAATCAAGTCAAAGCCCACGATTGTAAGTGTAATTTATCAACCATGATATTACAAGGTAATAAAAAAGTATACTCGTGAAGTTAAGAAATAATTTCACTTGCGTTTTGTCAAATGCAAATAATTTCCCTCGCCTGATGGCTCGGAAAATTATTAGAATTTTTATTACCCATACTAATAGCAAAAAAAGAATAACGCAGGTCGTATCAATATTTACCCAACGCCAAATGTAAGAAATTTAGAATAATGGCAATTCAACTTATGCAAGTATTACGAAGGAGACCAACGATCCAAATTGATATTAAGTCAGTTTTTTTTGGCAAAGTATATTATTTAAGTTTAAGGGAGGGCCACGTGTTTATCCTCATTAAATAGAGTTATTACTTTACTTTACTTATCTGATATAAAATTATTTGAAGTCTAGAAATACCTCAGAATGATAATGTGCTAATGTTAAGGATCAGTTGAGGTTACAATATACAGTCGAGCCCCTATTAAACGGCCACCCTCGGGGAAATGGACCGTGGCCGCTTAAAAGGGGTTGTCCGCATAATAGAGGTAGAAACAATAGAAAAGCCATCATCGGGACTTTGATTGCTGGCCGCCTAATAGGGGTGGCAGTTTAGTAGGTGGCCGCTTAATAGGGGTTCTACTGTACTTGCAGGGATGTCTCCAGTTCAACGGATGTAGTGCCTCGATTTCTCTATTTCTCTCTTTGAGTTGAAACTCTCCCAAGTGTCCCCATCTAGCTAAAATAAAGTTTTTGAGAAAATATCCATTAGCTGTCAATCAATAAAAAACTTTTACTTCCGGTAGAAAACGTCACGTTTACAGAGTCTGTATCCATTTTCTCGGGGAATATTTACGCTTTTTGTATTTTACGGAGAAAACCGAAGGTCGAATATTTTTCACTCTGAAAGTACACGGTAATCTTAAAGGAAGGAGAGCTAAAGAGAACGGGGATGGTAAAGACTTGGGAAAACTGAGACGGATCATGACCTACAAATCAACGTAAGAGATTAAAGCTAGATTAAATGTTCATATATGCGTCATTCGTGACGCAGTGGTTCGATACCAAACATCCGCAATGCCGACTTTAAGAAATAAACTCGTTTTCGGGGTAAGGTGTTTTGCACCCGGCGGCCTCATTTTGAAACCAAGTCAAAAGGTATTTTGACACAGTAAAGCGAAAAAAGTGATTACACTTGTTTTCTTTTTTCGACTCTTTGTTATTCGCGTTAAAGGGGTTCTACCGTACATGGACCTACATGTATTCTGGTCTCCCTGCGACCAAGTGACGCACCTGTCCGCACAAAAGATATGTCCGTATTATGTCCTCTGTTAGGAGAGTTTTCGTCTGTGATTCCTTCTGCTCAAAAACATCTTTTCATCGTCCAGCAGAAGGTGTTTGCGAAAGAACAAATCTAAAAATGTTCCGTGAAAACATTGAACTTCACAGGGGCGGTCGATTATATTAACGTTGGCCGGGGCCTACAACATTTTTTACAACACCACCTGAGTGTCTATTAATGAAACTAACGCCCAAGATATCTGAAAAAGCAGGAGGCAGAGAAGTATGATGACACACATTTACATTCAAAAATCTCGTACTAATTTAGGCGAAAACAGTTTTGTTTTCTCTGACCTTGTAGCATATGTGCGAAAATCTCCTCCCACTTAATGTAAAATTGTTCACACTTAATTATACACTTGTATTTTATTTGTGAAACAGATTTTTTGAAAGGCCTTTTAAACAAGTTTTAATAATTCACAATTCTTTGAAATCTAAAATTTTTGACAACAAAATTTCTTCTTGTTGATAAACAGCTAAATAACCAGAACATAAAGGAAATCCTCGGCTACTGCGGACACATTGCAGTCATTGAAAACGAAACTCTAAAAACTAACCGTAATATAGATATATTGCAGTCGGTAAAGGGAGTTCAGATTTCGAATCAGTGATTGAGGGATGAACTAAAAATCTTGCAAATTTTGATTAGTTTAGAAATCAAAACTTTTGCTTGGTAATGCTCTCTTCACCGACAGCACTAAAAAAAGAACGAACCCGGATGAGAATAGAGAACGGTTACATTATCGACTTTCCAGAACTATGCAGTGAAAAGAAATTATTATTTATCAATCCTAACTAAATCTCTTCCTTTCCAAACTTTAATTTAACGAATTCAAGATTTAAATCTCCACTCCTTCAATTAATTCCCTTTACTGAACATACGATGCAGTATAAAGGAGTTTTCCAGTTTCATCTTTTTCTCAAGGACACACTAATCTAACGTTCGCATAGTTGTATATAAGGCTAAAATGCTCTGAAAAGTGTCAAACTGTTAAACTGTTAAACTAAACGTTTCGGGCTTAGCCCTTCTTCAGTAGGTGGATTTAGCCACGCCATACAAAAAACTGTAGCGTACGCACGCACGGAAAGCGCGTATAGTCTTAGGGAAGCTTTCCGGGCGCTGCTATTCATCTGTTCAAAGATGTTTTAGCATCAATATTGTGCTTTTTACAGATTGTTTGGGCCTGAACTGCATCTCCCGTATATTACTCAAAATGCTTTTAATCTTTTGATGACTTTTTGTTATACCTTTTCCAAGAGATTTTCGACATTTGTTTGATGAGTCGCAGAACGTTCATTGTTCGAAAATGGCTTTGAAGCTTTGTGTTGAATCATTCTTTTTCACTGTACTTAACACAAAAAAGAACGCATCACCTCAGCGTATTCAGTTGATGCTCAGAAAATAAAGCTGTTTCAATAATTGTTGCAAGCACAATTAGCAAAATTGCTTTTTCTTATTCTAAGACGGAATAGTAAGTCAATCGATATACAACCTTAGTATCTCGTTTTGGCTTTTCACAATCTATATCAAATTACGCCTTTTAGTTCTGTCCTCTTGACAAATAAGGTAAGCAAAACTTTACACCAGCACCTACCCCTGCCTAGTTGTCGATTAGACTAAGACATCTGGTCTTGAAACTGTTTGTTTACGCAGAGGGTGGTAGGGGAACCAAGCCTTAAACACCTTAAGGCTTCTTTTCAGAACACTTCAAATCAACATGAAGGGCGCACGGGAAGTCGCTCTCTTTCTCCTCTTTGCATCGGTGTTTGGCGAACCCGAGTCCTTTGAAGGGTAAGTAATAGTTTTAAAACTATTTCCCCTCAGGTCTGGTGTGATAGATCCAGAGACATATATAACTTAACTCTAAATAAAATCGTTTTGTACTCCCGCGTCACATTAAAATTTTAAAAAAATATGTTACTCCATGACATTTTTCCAGTGTTTCCTTATTTTCTGCCTAGCTATGGAGTATATAAGCTATCGTATAAACCTTTCGTTATATTGCGTATTCCTCTCGAGCCATTCAATCCCGGTCACAGCAATTTTTTTTGAGTTCCCTTTAAAATGCGAGTAGTCACAACTCGTTTTCCTTGTGCCGTATAAAATGTTTCATATCATGACCCGGTTAATGTACTGGTTTTACTTGATAACAGATAAGATAAGTTTCAGGTTCATTTCAAATAGCTGTTGTACATGCTTCTGATCTGAATTACAACAAATGCCTCGGACAAATTTTTGTTATTTTTTCGTTAATTCAAAAAAAAAATTATTAAAGCCCCTCGGACAATTTGTGGCCCCAAATGTCAACAGGAGAAAGAGTTCAAATATTCGAAACCTCTCGACAGCTAACTTCTTCGTAGAATAAGAAAGAAACGGACATCGGACTGCAACTGCCGACTACGTCCTACACCAAGCGACCCTTTTAGGCTTCCATAGAGATTTAACAATGGTTGTTGATCGGCTGAACCAAATTAACAAAACCACAAATTTAGAAACTTTAATTAGCTTTTTTTCCCCCTTTCATCTTCAGTACATTTGAAACCCCTGATTTCGATTCAAAATTCAAAAGCCTATTTTTGCGATTGTGCTTTTTTCGAGGCAACCATCTGGTAAGGTGTGTCAACAAAAATTGCAAAAACTGCCTGAATGATAAAGGCTCTCCTTTTATTTTTTCCGTGATATTCAATTTGAATTTGAAGTAGCTTCAGATCCTGTTTGATGATCACTATCATCATTTTTGGCAAGTTTTCTCAGGAAGAAAACTGCCAACCACACATCAAAGAAAACCTTATATAATCCAAATAAAAAATGTATTCTTAACATCGACAATTTATCTGAAAAAGCCAAGAATATCAGGGCTGGTATATTGCTTTAAGAAATACATTTTATATCTTAATGGGAAAGTTGAGGAATTTCTAGATTTTCGGAAAAACATTATCGATAAGTTCTTTTTCAACTATTTTGACCATAACTTATACAAACCACAGCTCAGTCTTTTCATCGCATACTTTATTTAACAGGCATAAACTGTACCGCTCTTACCCAAAGAACAAGGATGACGTAGCTTTCTTGGATAAGATTCTCAAAGCGGGAGATGATGGGGTAAGACTTCCAAGACGTGAGAATATAGCTATATTAGACTACTGTGCTGCATGGTATGTTAACGGTTTAAAACCAGATACCTTAGGTACTTTTGGAGGTGAAACTGCTTTTTAAACTACCTTGCTTGATATTCAACTTAGTCTGATCGGAGTAAACCTACGCTCGCCATATCTTCATCTTTATTATCATCATCATCATCATCACTTTCTTTATTATCAAAAACAATATCATTATCATCATTATAATTATAATCGTCATCATTATAATCATAATGAACATCACTTTCCTCATTAATTTTATCAACATCATCATCATCATCAACAACAACAACAACATCAGCATTGACGTCGTCGTCATTGTCGTTTTACTCATCATTATCATCAACCATTGTCACGCTGTGTGATGCATAAGGCTCCAACATCAACGCCAAGCTAAAAGTGACCGCCTGTCACTCTCTCCAAGAGAGCATGTTTTCAAAAAGGATCGTAGTGGTGTTATTTATAAGCATAACAAAATATGCGATGTTCGCTGTGTTTGTTTGATTTTAAACGGCGGTCAGAGTCTTAGCTCGCGATGACTTCTCGATTTCAGATTGACTTTTGGACATATCCTACGGAGTCTCTCGACCCTGTTGAAATCCGTGTTCAACCAGTCGCCGTGCAGAAACTTGAGGCCCTTTTGAACGGTGCCAATATTGCCTTTACAGTGTCAACGCAAGACGTGAACAAGATTATCCAACAGGAAAAGGGAACTGCAAGAGCTGGGGGATTTGACGGCTCATATCACAGAGTCGGAGAGGTAATACTCTTATCTCTAAGAGTGCCCAGTCAATTTATGAATTCTGGTACGCACTCATCAAAGTATCTATACATTCTGTGCCTACGTCACTGTTGTATGTGTTGTGTGCCTAATTTTAGCCGCTACAGATCATATCAGACTAGTTGTACAGCATTTCGGGGATTTGCAAAGGAAGCCTCAAAGGTATTTCGTCAGTTAATCAATCAAACTATACTCACAGGAGCGACTTCACGGTTTGTGCATCTTAAAAGGTTGGCCTTAATTTCTCATGTTCATCGTTTCTAGCCCGTGTTTATCTTTTCCATCTTCAAAACCATTCTTGTTCCTTTATGGTTTATTATTTTCTCTTTGGTGTTTTTCTATCTTAATAACTACTATATTCAGGTTTCCTTCAATTTAAAGGTAAATTGGTACGTGACCAAAATAACTCAAAATACTGTTTCAGTCCACCATCATTACCTTCTACGATGTGCTCTACAAAAGGAGGCTGGGAACCCTTAGGAACAGATAAATTGAGAGTTCAGTTTTGAATGGAACATAACCACGAAATGGCACGTGTACGCATATCTGTTTATAAGGGAAGGACCTTATCTTTTGAGGGGGGAGAGGGGGGTGAGCAATTCTCTGGGCATGTTTTTTTTCTCTCACCTTTAGGTTGTGCATGAGGTTATTGTTGGTGGGCAACAGCTATTACAAGAATCTTTTTAAAACGTCAAACACAGGACCTGGATAATGGAAAGCACTNTTTTTTTTCTCACCTTTAGGTTGTGCATGAGGTTATTTTTGGTGGGCAACAGCTATTGCAAGAATCTTTTTAAAAAGTCAAACACGAGACCTGGATAATGGAAAGCACTTGCTCGTGTTTTTTGTTTTTTTCCTCCATGGCTCTCCTTGCACAATTTTACTTCAGCAGTTTTTGCTGTGCAGGTTTTTTTTTTTAGATTGTCCAACCACCGACCCCTCCTCCCCTCCACCACCCTTGCTCTCAAAAAAAAAAACAACTGATGGTCCGTCCCTAAATATCCTAGTGATGACACTATGTAGTTCACACAAAGTGTAACTGAAATAGTTGAAACGAAATACATTATCACCGTTTTAGAATCACTACACTGATTTCAACTTCGATTCTCAAACCTACTTGGCAATTGAGTAAATTACAGATTTGTCTTGTTCCAGTTAAAAAAGTATTTTCTGTATTATTTTTGTACAGATCCATTCTGAAATTCGAAAACTTGCTTCTGCGCACTCCGATGTTGCCTCTACTTTCTCTTTGGGAAAATCCCTCCAGAGCCGTGACCAGCTGGCTATTAAGGTTTGATTTATAGCTTCTTCAGCTACACTAACTAAACCTTATTCTGATTTTCAATATCATTGTCCCCTGCCGGTTTTTTTGTTATCATCGTTGTCTCAAATCATAATATGGATGGTTTCTAACTGATAGCCTCCTCCAGGGGCGGGGGAGGGGTACTTCCTTATATGGGTTAGAGAGGTATGTGCGGCCTAAAAGGGTATGGCTTTGTAGCCGTTTTGGTCAGATAAAGAGGATCGATTTTGGCGATTTTGGTCCCAAATCGGGAATGTATTTTTCACTCTAGTCTTGAATTGGGTGTGTTTTTTAGACGAAGCTACTTTTTCATCATTATTGATAAGACCATCAAAAAAAGTCCTTCACAATTCCTTTAACAACTGTCTGAACTAAGTACATAATTATAAAGCAGGTCTGAAACAGGGTTTTGATTTTAAGGGTCAGGGTATCGAATAAACTAGGGCATCGAATTTTTGGTAAGGTCATAAATAGGGTAGGGAAAATCGTAGATTTTGGTCTTAAATAGAGTAAGGGTTTTGGGAAGCGGGCCGCAAACCACTACTCAATTTTTCTAGGAGTACCCCCACCCCCCGGGCTGATAGCTGAGAATTGGTCAAGAATTTAACCGTCCACTGAGATCTGAGATCTGCAAACGTTTCTGATAAATGGAGCTGACAGAAAATTGGGAGAAAGATTCCAACCCCACCATCCACACCTCAACGGCATCTTGACGACATTCTAAAGGGTAGTTTTCTCAATAAATTTTCTTTTTAGATTAAGTCTGGATCAGGAAAGAAGCCTCTCTTTTTTTTCAACTGTGGAATTCACGCCAGAGAATGGATCAGCCCAGCCACGTGCATGTATATAATAAGACAGGTTAGCAAAAAAGTACGCTTTACTTTTTTTTTAATATGGAAGAAAACGGGGGAATTTTCTCGATGCTTGTTTGTCTACTTCTACAGAACTTAACGAAAACGAAAATCGTACTGGTAAAGTCTAGGAATGTTTTCGAAGAAACAGCGTCTAACGGCGAACTGTTAAAGTATTCAGAATATAAACGTAAAAGGTTCTACCTTAATTCGTTTTAAAATAGTATATTTTTTCCTGATTTTAAATTTTTTTTTCCCCTGACGTCTTTTCTTTACTTGTGGTTAATTATGTTGTAGTCTACGAATAGTCCCTCTTTCGCTTGGTCCGTCGTGCGTGCCGCGAAAGAAAACCGAATGAAGAAGAAAACAATGGCCGCGCGAACTCCGATCCTGGAGGCGAGAAGCGCGCCAAGGACTCTTTTCGCGCGCTTATTTCACACGGCCATTTTTGTCCTCGCAGTTTATTTACGGTCTCGCTCGACGGACTAAGCGAAAGAGGAATTCTCGTATACTATGAACTATGGTATACAATGTAGATACATGCTACCTGACTAAATGTCAGATTAGCATGCTGACGTTTGCCAAGGGTTGTTACTGATAAAGAATTTTTCCCTCTTTAGATGCTGGCCACTCGTAAAACCAACTCAGATGTTAAGTTCATGCTTGATAATTACGAATGGATCATTCTTCCAGTATTCAACGTGGACGGATACGAATATACTCACACTAACGTATGTAAACATTCTCTCTACATTTCTTACCGTACTAGTTGGGAGAATTTAATAAAGTATCATCCCTCGGGAAGACTTCCATGTTAAAAGGACACGGCTGCTTGTCGGAAATTTTCAAAGAAAGCCCTAAGAGGTACCAAGATCCTTATTTGTGGGTGTGGCTTGAAATTTCTTTTCACTCCTTAGCCAGTACCAATTGTTATGGAGAGCAATTGTAAATACTAAGTTTCTGGTAACTTCTAGAATGTTTAGTCACGCAATGTTTGTGCCAGAACCTTCTACTGTCACGATACGGGGCAGTTTCCGGAACATTCTACTAGATGATATAACGACGATGTAATGCTACATAAATAGTCGTGTTCGAAGTTCCCAGAACGTTCTAGAATATTCATTAATTATATATAAGTTAGCTAGCTTGGGTTGTTGTCGGCAGAGACCGACTGGAGAAGCTATATCATGAGAATCGTAGAGAGCTATTGAGGAACTTCAGCGGATTGAGAGAAGATTTCTTCGGAGACAGCAACGTTTACTGTGGGTTTGTGTCTGTGGTGACTTAAGTTTTAGTCGTAGGCTTAAGTTAGTTTGGTGATAAATTGCACTGTTTAGAACTCGCTCCTTTGTAACCAAGATTTCACTACCTATCTCTAAATAAATAAAATGGGTTTGTAGAAGAGTTTCGCAGCGTATCTTTTTTGTCGGTTGAGTGATACTAATTCTAAAGCAACGCATTATTTCCTGTCATATTTTTTTCGGCGCAATACCCTAAAAGGTACCCTAAAAGCTCCTACTGTGGACCTTTTGAGGCTGAACACCCCCGTCCTTTCTATTTGGGAGTCTCCCCCGGGGTATCAACTCGCGTTTAAGCTGTGAGTCAACATACAAATTTTCCTTACTGTTCTTCATACATTTCTTATAGTGCAAGTTGGGAGAATGTAATGATGTATCAACCCTTGACGCTCGATCGTTGATGTTAACATTCAAGTTCTTCTTGCTGGTCTAATAGGATTTTTCCGTGAAAATAACAATTCACAATTATGAAATAGAAAACATGTTCTCGGTGTTTCTATCGAGTTTTAGTATAAATCTACTAGCGTTCTTTCACGATTGCTGTTCTCCGATTGACTACGTTATTCACTATCCATTCTGTTTTTTACAATAACTGCAGAAATTCTCGCCCGCTCATTGGCTAAATTTTATTGTCAATAAGCGGACAGACACATGAATTTATAATTTATGCGATGCGTCAACGAGCGAGAGCGGACAATTTGACAATTTGTTATCGTGAAAAACAAATTGATATCAGCTTTTAATGCGTCTGTCCTGTTATTGACAATGAATTTCGTCATAACATTGTCCAAGTAGCTACGGATCCACTCGGCTATCGCCTCGTGGATCCACAGCTACCTCGACAATGTTATGACGAAATTCGTGATCAATAACAGGACAGACACATGAAAAACTGACGTCAATTTGTTAAGTAGATAGTGAGTAGCGTAGCAGTGTGCGGTTGTTATCAACATGACGGCCGCTGTTTGGGTTCCCAAAGTGTCTGACGGTGAAGTGGATTTAGATAAAGTTTTGAACGACTAGTAGATTTGGTGTTTGTAATATTCGCTTCGATTTCAAAAACATAATTTCTATTTACAAGGCTAAAAAAGGTTAAAAAGCAAAAAACACTGAACGTTTTCGACACTAGCTCATCATCAGGGTATAGTAGATTTACACTAAAACAATTAGATTATTTACTGCACCCTCGCCAACTATCACACGTAGAAATCTCGAGCTCATAATCAAATTGCTAACATTTGTTTGTCGCGCCATCATTATTATCACGTCAACAGGTCGTGCAAGTTCTGATCAGCTCTGTCTCTAGCAACTTTTATATAGAAACACGATTTTAAACCAATCACCGCTGGTTACTTTCTTTGGGCCATTTTCCAACACGATTTATTGTTAATCGTTTACCTGCAAGCGTGGAGAGAAAAACTTTTGCGAGCGCGGGGAGAAAAACTTTTGTGTTCAACCTCGTTTTTCTGATAGTTTTCTACCGCCCAATTTGAAAAGTGAAGAAAACCCTGGGACGAGGTTTTGTTTGTGTTATCCCAGGGATAACTCATTTTCAGTATGTTTAGACTCAAAAACTGTCTGGTACTTTTCAGAATCGTATGTGGAGGAAGACAAGAAGCCGAAACAGTGATGGAAGTTACGGTGCCGACCCCAACAGAAATTTCAATTATCACTTTGCAGGTATTTTGTTCGTATTTTTTTTGGTGACAGCTTTTCCACTACAATCTCCAAGTGTAAAAAAAAGCGTTTCATCCCAGGTGTAGATGATACTTATAGTCGAATACGTTTAGAATCGGGAGCCTTCGGGCATTAGAGATAAAAATCTAGGTTTATTACGCTAGAGCATCCACGCCCCCATATTTCCGAATCTTCCAACGGAAGTTAACTTTAGCGCAAATTAAAACCTCTTTCTTTGCGAGCTATATTTATACCCACGCCACGCGAAACAGAACATCGTTCCCAGGGTTTTTCCGTTAAAATTTAGACGAGGGGCCCTCAGAACGAGGTTGATGAGACTTGCGTGATGACGTAGCTCTACAAAGATCCTTGTAACCTCTTCGATTGGTTGTTACTTACGCGCGCAAATTCAATCACGAACATTACCCAATCAGGGACAATGAAGACTCCCCGCACAGTGACGTCATCAATATAGAATGTTTTGGTTCCAATCCCAAACGCCATTCTAATGGAGGGAGGGAGCGGGGTGAATTCAACTCGAGGCATTGGATGTCTGTTTACAGGCTAGACAGTATTGTTTTTATTACTAATAGTTCTTTTTTTAATCATGTATTACATCCAGGAAAGGGAACTTCGCAGACTCAAAGTAGTGACATATACACCGGATCACGTCCATTTTCCGAGAAAGTGACTTACAACGTGGGAAAATATCTTTACCAACGCAGGGCAGAATTGAAAGGATACATTGATTTTCACGCGTACAGTCAACTGTGGATGAGTCCCTGGGGATACACGAATGCGTACCCTCCACATTATGACCAGCAGGTAAGGACAAACTTATTTCCCTCGGGGATGCTCATCGACATTATCACTTTCTCATGTTTGGTACCGCTCAGGGTTTTCAAACGTTTAAAAGAAAAGGCAACACACAACCCAACATAAAATCAGTTAAAAATTTATCGATAAAAATTGAATATAGCGTTCTCTGGTAAAGATTATTCAAAAAACGTAAACTTTCGACAGCCGATCTACTGTCTTCGACGGATAAAAATTTGTGATAAATGAAACGTTAAAAAATTTGAATATAGAGAGTAAATCGAATAAATTTAAGAATATTAGACGTATAAAGAATGACTGGCTCAGTAACACCTTTGATGAAAGGATCGCAAAGATCTGTCGGTTCCTTGAATCAGCCCATTTGAAGAACTCCTCAGGTTTTGGCTATCCTCCAAAAATCACCGGTGATATTATAAGAAAGAAATTGTCATCACCACCTTCACCAACACCTGACGAATTACTCGATGTGGGTGCTAAATATCAAGTAGAAGATTGTCTGTCCCATTTTTAATTTCTACCCCATTTTTATTTAAATCGATTGGTTGGTTACTATTAAAGTGAGTTCCTTACTCTGTATCTTATTAAGAAAAAAGCCATGCAGGCTGCTGTTAATGCGCTTCGAGCTGTGCATGGAACCAGCTACAAATATGGACCAGCTGCCATCACCATTTGTAAGTACAGTTCTTCATAAAGTGTTCCACTGCGGTGAGTACTCCCAGAAAAATTAGGCGGGGTGTGTAGCGCGCTTCTCAAAACCATTGCCCTATTTAAGTCCAAAATCTGCGATTTTCCCTACCCTATTTATGAGCTGAGCAAAGATTCGATACCCTGTTTCCGACCTGCCTCATAATTAGTTTCCTAGTTCAGACCGCTTTTGTTGATGGGCTTACCGACAGTGAAGAAAAAGGTAGCTTCCTCTAAATAAACATACCCAATTCAAGACTAGAGTGGAAAAACCATACCCTATTTGAGACCAAAATGGCCAAAATCGAGACACTATTTCTGACCAAAACGGCTGAAAAACCACACCTTTTGGGGCCGCACATAATTATATAGCCCATATAGGGGAGTACCCCTGTCCCGGGGTTGTTCCCGTTGGACGGCAGATACTTTGTAGCGTGCTTCGCCTGCCTCATGGAAAAATTCTATACAAAAATGGCATCGCTCGACGCTACTATCGCCGAAGAGTTTGAGTAAAAACATATTTTAAAATCCAACGTTATTTTCTCTGTCGTTAGTGCGCTCAACTCCGGACCGAGCGGTGTGGGGGCATTGTGTTGTGTTCTTGGGTAGGACTCTGTACTCCCGCAGTGCCTGTCTTCACCCAGGTGTACTATACAGATTTAGTATCACCCAACTAGTGGACTAATGCAAATCCTGCATTTTGATTGGCTACGCTACTAGAGGACTATTAGTAATAGTCCTCGAGTAGCGAAAT